GGTGGGTGTATATGCTTGTGTGTGTGTGGGGGGGGTTTGTGTGCATGTGTGTGTGTGGGATATGTGTGTATGTATGTATGTGTGTGTGCACGCTGGAGTTCAGAGTTGTTTGTACTGTATGTGTGTGATTGTGCATGTGACACGTGTGTGTGTGTGCTTGTGCATGTGGGGTGTGTGTGTGTGCTTGGGCATGTGGGATGTGTGAGCTTGTGTGTGTGTGCTTGTGCGTGTGGGATGTGTGTGTGGTGGGGGTGTTTGTGTGCATGTCTGTGTGTGTGTGCACACTGGAGTTCAGAGTGTCCATCCAGAGTGTAGTCCTGCCCTCCACACTGTGCTTCTGGGCTTGGATACAGTTTTCCAAGTCGTTTTCCAGGAATAAGCATCTTCCAGATGCTGGATGGATAACACTCTGTAAGCGCTAGCACTGATCTCAAGTTTAATATTTGCATTAAAAACACAACAAGAGTAACAGAAGAGTAACATTTAAATGTCATATGACAGAGTATGGTGTCATTCCTGCATCACCCATGCGTGTATTTGAGAAGAATATTGCCTATGGCTGACTTGGAGATGCACAATAGACCAGAAAACATTCCCATCCTTAAAACATGACAGGAATACCCTATTTCTGGACAGCTTTCTGAGTACCTTGTGGAATTTTGGATTTTCCAGAACTTTAACAGTCAGACTGCATTAAACTGAAATGTGAAATAAGAAAAATAGAACTTTACATATTTTTATCTCAGCATTGAATACGTTTTCTTATCTTAAAAATCTCTTTAAAACTGTAGTTCTCGTTTATGTGTTATATCCCTCTCATTTCATGTTCATTGAATTTTGCAATTAAAATATACATACTGTATAGTATATGACAAAGATTGTAAATAACAATGGAAAAAATGTGTTGTACCGTTGTGTATTAAATGGCACATGTGATAAGGAGGCATTTAACAAAATAATACAGTAATGTCATTAAGTTCAAATATTTTTGCTCTTTATTTTTGTTTTTTGTACACGTTCATCTGAAATACGATTGAAATTTAACAGAAGTCCATGATGCGCCGGAAGGAGCCGATCCTGGGGTTCATGCCTCCCCAGTCGCTGAATCTCCTGTACTCTCCGGGCCTCATGAAGTACTGCCTGCCTCTGTAGTTGGGCTGCTCGTAGAACATCCAGTATCCCTCCATCACATTGCAGGAGTGGATGTCATTGTATCGGAAGCGGTCGTAGACATTGGGACAGTCGTCCATGAACTCCATCATCTGGCCTCCGAAGCCTTCTCTCTCGTAGATCCTCATCCTGTAGGAGCCTTGGTACTGTCAACATATAAATTGCAGGTTAGCAGTTAAAGTTACACTTGTTTTAGAAAGCCATGCTAAGAAACGCATGCAGATCCTCTTCTAAATGGTCACTGAACTGTGCTGTGAGATGTTTTTGAGGCTGCTATGAAGAAGTATTGGAATGGAATGTCTGTACTACAAAAACAGCCAGAATTCCACTGCTTTATACATACAAATCATTACACATCAATTATCACTGTGTTGCACTATTGCAAATTAATCGTAATGCAATTTGTCATCGACAATAAGGGTAGTGGGCACAATTTAGGTGCCAACAATAGTGGTGATGGTTCACCTAACCTTCTTCATGGTAGGATGTTAGATTTTGCTTCATGTAAAACCAAGATACTAGGGCCATGGAGCAAGATGAAAGAATCAATCAACTAATGTAGAGAACATTGTATTGTATGTCAAAACATTTCTTTGTACTCAAGTAAATTTAAAGACCCACTTGAGGAATCATCCTGCAGGACCTGATGCAGTCGTTGAAGCCCATCCAGCGCTGGTAGTCGGGATACTCGCCCCTGCGCAGGAAGTACTGGTAGCCCATGTAGTTGGGGCGCTCGTACACCATCCAGCAGCCGCTCTCCACTCGGATGGAGTTGCAGCGGCTGAAGTAGGAGTGCAGGTCAGCGCAGTCGCTGCTGCACTCATAGGAGCGCCCCCCGAAGTTCCTGTCCTCGTAGAAGATGATCTGGGAAATACAGTACATGGATACTTCATTTAGAATTGATCTGAATGTATAATCGACATGTAAAATGAAAAATGCACTCAAAAGCCTTACCTTTCCCATGTTGTGTTTTTTACAGGGCTGTAGCTCAATGTGCAAGCTCCTGTGTCTGATGCCTTTATATTGGGTTACAGAGACAGTTGTCATTGTTATTTAAATACATGAACAAGAGCAATCAGCAGTTTGAAGCATTAAACAATCAGAAGGTGATGGACTTATTCGACACCGCCATTCAGAAGCCCATTGTGTATGTATATTGTGCGAGTTCTGCCAGCAACATTTCAACAAACCATATAATGGCTCTCTGAATAATGCATAATCTAGTTTTAGCACATTGAACTTTCTATCCAGAAGACAAAACGTGGTATTGCATTTCTGGGGCTTTCTAAATTTCTTCACGGAGGTGACTGTATAAAACAAAATTTCAGAAGGCAGTAGTTGTAGGAAATATAAGATTCACTCAAAAACATTGCCTAATCTTCTTATCATTATAATCAAATGTTTTGCATTTTCATTTTTTTCATTGCTGTATATCTTTCAGCTATATAAAACCATCGCTGTACTTAAAAGTTGTTAAACAAAAATTCAGGGGGGCGATCATACTGTAATCTCATACTTCTGCTACCTCCTTTATAAATACTTGCCTGCTGGGCACAGTTTTGCGCATGTCTTGTCTAGCCCCCCCTAGTTCCCCCATCGGCACCCCTGGTGCAGCTCCCTGGCTCATTCCTCGCAAGTGTAGGTCATTCCCTCCGTTTGGAGAGATAAGGCCAAAACTTAAAATATTAAGCAAGCTCATATTATTATTAAGCACCCTTATTAAGTGGCTAAATTCATTGTGATCGAATATGAACCAGTTACTGACCACATAGGACGCTGTGTGGTCAGCGCTGGTAAACTACGGTGGAAGTGATCCTTTCAGCACCTTGTTTTCAATTAGAGTGAGAACTCCCGTGTAAAACATCTAAATCTCAATGAACACAAAACACGGTCTGTTCACTCATTCATTTCCGACACAAGCCTGAGAGCGTTTTTTTTAAATTCCAAAGGAAAAAAAAATGTGAGCAATTATTTTCAATGGTATTTTTGCTCTCGCGATTTCCAATAGATTTTCAGTTCCTAAAACAAGAGATTTTAGGAAAACTGGAATATAAAGGAGCTGAGAGGCGCAGAACACTGTCCTTCCCATTGCTGAGCCATAACAGTATCAGTGTCTTAGATTGAGAAGACAGGGCAGTCAGTAGGGATTTGTCTACAGCCATGTTACTGTCTGAACTACAGGAAAGGGTTGCTCACTGAAATTTAGTCAAGAAAGTAGCAAGAGAATTTAAACACAGATCTAGTCAGAAGGTTTCTCGTTGTTTTGCGATATCTGCAGCACAAGGCCCGGGACGGGACGGGACGGGACGGGACAGCGCAGGTCTGGATCTGCAGTCCCGCAAGCGCAGGAGAGCCAGCCCGCAGTGTGACTGAGCCCTTACCGCACAGCGCCCTCCTGCGTCACTGAACGAGAAGCATCTCTGCAGCCCGGCAAGTTCATGAAATGAGCACCTCACTCGCGTTTCGTTTCGTGAAGGCTGTCAGAGCGGGGTGGTACTGTCAAGTGTCCGCCTTTCCTTGCCTGGTAATCCCAGAGCGCTGCTGCGCACTCATCCGTTATGTTGGGAATCGGGGTTTCCGCACTGCTTAAATTGCCCCGCTACTCCGAAAACAGAACTGTGCCTTTGGTCTATTAACTAAAACGTAGGGTAAATGTCTGTTCTTTTACAGCTACATTTGCGATCCTAGTTTATTATCAATCGATTTCAAACTGCTGCATTCGCTGGCTCGACTTTCATATAGAGAAATCAAACTGGCATAATAAACGTCACTCGACGTTAATTCACTCGATGTTATAAATGTTACTGGAGGAAAAGTGCTAAATTTACAGCCTGACAAGAGACAAATTGCTTCCTTGTGCCTTATGGAAAAATTTCAGTTTCATAACAAAGCTATTTTGTGTTTTATGCATTGTAGTTTTTGGGTTGGGAAGTACAAATGTCTTCGGATGATAGGGTATGTAATAAAAAAGGGGCAGAAAATAGTTTAGCACGGAAGTTTATTTCATGTTTTGCGCGGAAATTTTATTTATGAACCTCATTTGTACTGTAAATACCAAGTGAGAGTGTTCTGCTCTTTCCAGAATTACTTTTCTCCACACCCAGGTGTTAAAGAATCGATGTGTAATGCATGGACAGTGTGACAAGAGAGGTTTCATACTGTATACTGTATGAATAGGGTTATTTAATGAAGAGACCAATCTGATATTTGTTCAAAGCCAGAGCTTATTATTCTGCCACTTTTCATTTAATTATTTACATTAAAATGACTCATTCAGACTTGTGGAAGGTATTTCTTACAGAATACAGTATCTTTGGTATAAATTGATTTATGTTTTATGCATTGTCCTTTTTTTTATCAAACTCAAATACTCAGTATACTGTATAAAATGCCAAAAACCTTGGCAATTCAATCTGCTAAATTATTATTGTGAAGTCAAAGTAAATGTATCCATTAAATGATAAAGAATGCACACATCCTGGGTTCAAAAGCGTCAATCTCAGTATCTAGAAATCATGTTTCTTTAGATAAATAGGAGTTTTCTTTTTTAATATCAATTACATTCTCACATTTCTTTCTATATCTCGTTTCTGAGGTGAAAATATCCCTCTGGCCAAAAGAAAACATACCTGTAGAAAAAAAAATCTAGTCATATTTTGGCATCACTTCCTATTATAATTGTAGTAATAAATGTAGAAAAATGTACAGTATATATTGCTGTCCTTACTGTAAAAGTCTTGTTTTTCAAATAATGTATTTAAATACTGCATCTGGTGCTCCAAGGGTTTAATGAATCATACTTGGAAAAAGGCTGAATGGAATCAGACAGATATTTTGAAACTGAAATATTTTTATTGACTATATGCTGGGATTCCAGACATTAAAGTCTGCAATTTTTAGCAGGGCTCCATGATGCGCCGGAAGGAGCCGATCCTGGGGTTCATGCCTCCCCAGTCGCTGAACCTCCTGTACTCTCCGGGCCTCATGAAGTACTGCCTGCCTCTGTAGTTGGGCTGCTCATAGAACAGCCAGTATCCATCCATCACATTGCAGGAGTGGATGTCATGGTAACGGAAGCGGTCGTACACAGACGCACAGTCGTCCATGAACTCCATCATCTGGCCTCCGAAGCCTTCCCTCTCGTAGATCCTCATCCTGTAGGAGCCTTGGTACTGTCAGCAGAAACAAACACATATGTTTTGCTGGTCTGAAACAAGCAGGATATGTAAAACCCTGGAATCTTTATTGCCCTTGCATTTAGAGCTCTTCAGTGCCCCATCCGAGCATCCTGCCTCCCACTACCTACCAGACATTGTCATCAGTATCAATATTGCATCAGGAAGTATGAGCTGGATTCGATTAGATTAACGCTACTGCTGCAGCACTTTCAGGCTACAACCTGCTCACTTAGTCATTGCAAAGTTGCCACATGTGATCTGTTTTGCAAAAGTCCAGATTTCCATAGGTTTTAATCCTAACTCTGTAGGATCCCCCGTGCTGTGGCGGAATAGAACAGCACACACATCCTGAAGGCGTCTGATCTCTGTGCCTCGTGTGTTTGCAGAAATAACAAAAATCATTTTCAAGAGCATCATATAGACCCATATAGACCCATGTGCAACTCCCAGCACAGGGCTGAAGGAGCCAGTCTTGAAAGGAAGGGTGACCAACATGGCACAATCTTAAATTAAGCAATCAATTTAGCCAGCAGGTTTTTGGGAGATGGGAGGAAACAAATGCACTTGGTAAAAGCTCTTTATATAATGGTGCCTCTAGGAAGATGTGGAGGGACATGCAGAGCACACACAGACAGGGGCACCTGCTTGGAATCGAACCCAGGATCACAGCCCTCCCTATGCCAGACACCTCAGAGTCATATCAGCTAAATTTCAACAGAATTACTGCATTGAAATTTGTGAATTAGTCTCTTATTACATCATACAAGCTTAGGGCTTTTACTGGCAATTGATAATATATACCACATACTGTATATGGTCTAAATTACAAATGATTTGCTCCTGTTTTTATAATATGTCATAGTGTAAAAAACAAAACACTGAATAACATACATCACTGTTAGAGGTTCCAAGTTAAAGGTAAAGTTAACATTAAGATACCATGAACTGCCCCTTAATGGTTTTAAAGATGTAGGTGCAGTAGTTTCCACTGAGCATAATGTAAGTGAAATGCCTTATCTCTGCCACAGGAGCTGGTCTTGGTCTGGATTTTTAATCAGGTTGCTCTATTGCAATGTTTCAACTTCCATAATAATCTTCTCAGCAGATTGTAATTGCAAAGACCCATCAACATATTGCAGGGGCTAGAATGAGCAGGAAGCATTGGCTCACAAAAATTCTATGAGGAGTATTTGCAAAGCAAAGGAGAACTTGCTCCTCATTTGCAGAATTTAATTATGAAAGTATGAAGAGTCCAATCAACCCAAAAGACACAACAGGTGTGGAAACCAAGAAAACAAATCAGGCATGCAGTGAGCAGAGATACATTCAAGGTGTTCAGATTCTTTTGTTTAGTTGAAGAAAGTTAGAGTAATTAGATTCTTAATCTACAACTCTATACGTCTGAAATAAACCGTTTTAAATAAAGTAATATTTGCTTCACTTATTTTTGTCGGCATGCAATGTCCAATTAATTAGATATCACATTAAGAGATATATGTCAAACTGTGTTTTGTTGCAGTGCAGATCTATTGATTTTAATTTTAAGTACTTGTAGAATGTTAAGTTCCCCCAAACTACCAAGCAAATGGTACCTTTGGGATAATAAAGACTCTCTCTACTCATATGCCAATGTAATGAAACAAAGAATTTTCTTACGTGAGGAATCATCCTGCAGGACCTGATGCAGTCGTTGAAGCCCATCCAGCGCTGGTAGTCGGGATACTCGCCCCTGCGCAGGAAGTACTGGTAGCCCATGTAGTTGGGGCGCTCGTACACCATCCAGCAGCCGCTCTCCACTCGGATGGAGTTGCAGCGGCTGAAGTAGGAGTGCATGTCGGCGCAGTCGCTGCTGCACTCATAGGAGCGCCCCCCGAAGTTCCTGTCCTCGTAGAAGATGATCTGTAGCAATATATTAAAAGAATTGCAGTCTGCAAAATTAGTTTCACTAGTAAAAAAGAGAATCAACAAGCAAGATAATTTTGAAATGCACTAACCTTCCCCATTTTGGATGCAACTGTGGGATTCATTCCAAAAGGCAGCAGTTTGATGGACCTTTTATACTCGATTGCTGCGCACAGGGTTTTTGTTATTTAAATCTCCCAGTCTGATGAATTAGCAGAACTAATTGAAATTGAAGTATTTCTTTCCTTCTGTCACAATGCGGCATTTCAAAATGAAAGAGCAGGGCATCAACTGGTTGAGGTCCTTAACTAACAGGTTATGGATTTAGATCTTCCAAGAGACATCATGCAATATCACCGCACACAGTACCATCTTGTGTGTGACTTGAGAATGATATTGCAGAAAATGTGCTCAGGAACAATTGCACAAGGTTCTGGTTTTGGTAAATACTGGTGCTGAGACTGTGAATAATTTTAGAGTTTGTCGAAGTATAACATATGCCCTCATTTGATGGGATCATATTGGATTCCATGAGATCTTGGGCTATTCCTAAACTGAAGATCTCATGAAGTGTTTCCTGATTCTCTTCTCAAAGGTAAACTCTGTGTTCCTCATCTTCTCAATCTTCTGCAAGAGAATGGGTGTTTTGAATGTGTTTTATTGATTGTAAGTAAAACAGTCATCAAGAAAAATACCTTATGTGGAGTATGAACATCATTTGTTGGCTGTAGAAAAATGCAGTTTTCTCTGTGACAATAATTAGGATCTTTTGGTATCAAATATAAGACTCTCACACAGGCTCCAACATCTGGGATCAAGCACAGTTGCAAGGCAATTTTAAAGCTTTTTTTTAGTGAAGAACATGTTCCATCCTGTTTTGAAAAAAAGTTTAAGAGAAAAAAGTGAATTTTTATGTTTACCATAACACACAGTACAGTTCCCCACAGTACCTTTTTGTTTGTACCATAACATTTGTACCTTTCCCATATGGTGTAGGAAATCTTCCTTTTTACTATTTTAGCTTGCCAGGATAAGCCCTGGCTCCCCCATGATCCTGAATTGGAAGAAGCAGTTAGAAAATTGAATTATGGGTGTTTACTATTTTAGTATCACTCATATTCTAGATTATTGTTAAATATTTTTTTACATTTGTCAAAACACATCCATTTTCTATAAAAATAATAAAATTTTAAAAATAGACACAATAGCACCAATTTTGATAGTTGCTCTATCCATGCATTATTTGTATATACACTATGTGTACACAGTACTTGTACTGTAGATCAGAATGTTTGACACAGGTGTTCTTCACACTGTTGCACTAGAATAGCAGAATGTATTAAAACGTTTTATTGTCAGAGAAACCTCAAGCTGTATTATACTTGAATGTTGATGCTTATCTTTCGTGAGTGTCACATATTTGAAAAATCACTTTAATGACAGAATTTCTGCCCTGGCTGTTGATGAATGAGAGTAACCAAAACTGAACATAAACTTTAGTGCATCTCCAAAGTGCTCACTGGAAAACTGGTGATGCTACAGGTTCAGGAATTTAAGAACCTGCCTATATTATGTTGACTGACAAATAAGTGGCCCATAATAGTATTAAACATTGATTATAAAACCCAGCCTTGCATGTAAAGGAGTCAACAAAAAACTAATGTGCAATAGACTATGATCGTATTGTTTGTCATCATAATTCAATTTCAATTACATGTTTTCCAGTCAACATTTTAATTTTAATAAATTTATTGTTATAAACTTTTATCAGTAAATTTAATAAAATTTTAAGTATTAATAAAATTACTATATTAATGTATAGTGGCACGTTTATTAGCAGAAGTCAGATACAGATAGCACATGTGAGAGTTGGAAAACATACTTAAACTTCTTTTTTGTCTGAGAGAGTGTTGTCATTGTCACTCAGTCAGTGTGTTTATTTCCTGTTAAAACAACTAATAATGTGTAAATGAAAAACTCTGAGCATATGAAAGGATAAGCGACTACTGTGACCACAGACAGGCTGGAAGAAATAATGCATAAAATGAACTGGCAGGGGGTTAGGCTTTCAAACAGTGGCATTGAGGTTCTGGCAATTCTTTGATACAGAGTCATTAAATTGGCACAAAGAGAAATCAGACTTGAACAAACCATTTTGCTGATATGCAAATCAGAGTAATTTAGTTAACAATAACTTTCCCTAGTCTGCACATTCTGGTTATGCATATATACATGGGCTGAGAATCTGGTGTAGCAGGTGAACAGTAATTTAAAATGGGGAAGGTAAGGTGAAGGTTATAAATGTGTCTCTTGAAGTCTTTGTAATAGAAATGTTTGTTAGTAGGTAAGAAATTCATGACTTAAAAGTAGCTGCAGTTATTAGGACATGACAAACCTTCCAAAGGAAGATGATTCTAAAGATAAGAAATACATATATTTGCAATTTCATAGCATCCAGATGAGTATAAAGATTTTTTTTTAAATTTAAACTAAACTTCAAAACATTTTAATTAACTGCAGTCATAATGTTATGTATGTCTAATATCCCATTGTTTTGGCTTTATTTAATTTCTTATTTGTCATAAACTTGATATTACATATTTGATAAAGTTGTTTCTCAAGCTTTGAAAGATCTGTAAATAAATTGGTTTGTCATTGATATTCATTACCGTGATACTTTAATTATCAGACCATCTACTTTGCTTTTGAGTTTAAAACTAACAGTGCTTTGATTCTGCTTCCAATAATGATTTGCCGTTTTACCCTTCATCATACGTTCCCTTCTCCTTGGCAGATCATTTTTTATGAGGATAAAAACTTCCAGGGTCGCTGCTATGAGTGCAGCAGCGACTGCCCAGACCTGCACTCCTACTTCAGCCGTTGCAACTCCATCCGAGTGGAGGGCGGCTGCTGGGTTCTGTACGAGCGCCCCAACTACATGGGCTACCAGTACGTCCTGAACAGAGGAGAGTACCCCGACTACCAGCGCTGGATGGGCTTCAATGACAGCATCAAGTCCTGCCGAGTTATTAGAAATGTAAGTCTCCTGACCTGGCTCTCAGGTCGATCTTCGAGTACTATTATGTTTAAGATTGGTTTTTGGTTTCCAGATAAGTACGCATGCAGCTGTGATTGTTTTCAAAGAATTGGATACCACGGCACATATAATGATTTGGAAGTTAAAGAGTGAATGATTGTTAATGAAGCAAAGGCCATAAAGTGGAATGGAATGGAATGCTCTAGGGATCAGCAACAAGGAATTAATCAGACAAAATCCAGCAGACAATAAGCAGAGATAACAGAGCAGTTTTGGCAGCAGTTAACATATACCAGCTCTTGGAGATTATGATGTACAAAGAACATTTTTTATTTGGGATTTTACTCTTCGATTCTGATGCGTTTTCAATTTGAAATCCAGCACTGGGCAAGAACGCTTGCTTCCGAAAGCCCTCGTCTTCCTCTTTTTCCCCGTAGAGCAGATTATTCCCATGCTGGTGGCTGACAGTCCAGCTGGACATTACAGGAGGTTCATGTTAACATTTCTCAATGTTATCTCCCCGCCAGTGATAATTTTTGAACATTTGTTTTGTAATGCTTTTTTCAGAACGAAACATCACTACAACAAACATACAATTTCTGTCAAGAAACAAGTCAAGATGATATTGGAAGACATCAGTCAGAGCTTTGGCACTAGTGAATAGTAAGCCAGCTGTAATTAGCTCCTAACTCCTCCAACTCCTAATTAGCTCCTAATTAGAGCAACTATTGGTAACACAGTCTCCACTCACCCTCATTAAATAGTTTATGTGGTTGCAGTTAGTCCCACCAACAGAAGATGCCGTGTGCCAATACTGAGAATAATTCCAAAATCTCATTCTAAAAAACAGCCCTGAACAGCCCAGCAGTTTTTCAAACTTTGTTTCGTGCTACAATATCGTTTCCAGGGGAAAAGAGGCAAAAGCTTGGAAAGTGAAATATGAATGTGTTCTGGTTTCTGTATTTCAGATCTATGGAAATGTGTACAAGATAAGGATTTATGAGAGACCTGAGTTCGCAGGCCAGATGGTGGAACACATGGAGGACTGCCCTTCCGTTTTAGACACCTTCAAGTTCCGCGAGATCAACTCCTGTGTGGTGGTCGACGGGGCTTGGGTGTTTTTTGAGCAACCCACCTACAAGGGGCGCCAGTACTTCCTGGATCGCGGAGAGTACCGCCGCTGCACAGACTGGGGGGCCACCTCGCCCGCTGTCGGCTCTTTCCGCAGGATCACAGAATTCTAGAATCCTGAAGAATACTGCGCTCCCGGGATCCCCCTGAGCCCGGGAATTCCTAACAAAGAGCCGGATCTTCAGAACTTGAAAAATTCAGCATTCATCGCATTATATTACAATACCGCAAATAAAAGCCTCTGAGAAGCAGTAGTGGTGTTGGCTGTTATTACAGTTATGCAGCAGGTGCAGTAGCAGTGCTAACAGTGTGTGATGTGTGCTTCAGTCTTCAGTCACACTGTGCTAACAAGGTAGATACATGTGAATACTACTAATGGTTTGGAATTGGTAATTTAGGAGTTTACTTGAGTTCCTTTTGACACACAAGGTTATCTCTTCATTTTGCAGAAGAAAAGGTAAAACCAATAAAACAGCCTTACTTTAAATTTAGAAATATCAGATGTAAAAGTTTGTTTTGATTCTTAAATATACTGCAAGGTATCAAAAACACAAACAATGTTATTGCTTCCAATATTCACTTGATACCTTCTTAATGCCCCTCAGTATTGTAACAGCACATTTCAGAACCTCTTTGCAAGATGTTAAATTAGTGTAATATCACATAAATTAACATAATGATCAACTCATTCATGGGGCGATAGTGTGGAGATAGTGTGGAGATATTGGTGAATAGATCTAAAACATGTTCTCAACACACTGTGTTCAACAGAAGAGATTCTGTGTTCAGGAGAGATCTGTGAAAACAGTCACATAACACAGTTTCTCCTTCCAGCTGTGAAGGCACTGGAGATGGAGATACAATAATGAGAGGATAGCAGGGAAATCATTTCAGGCAAATCGTATTTGTAGACATTTATTTATACACACTCCCCAGCCCATCAGAGCAATGACATAGCAGCGGACAAGAGGAGATGGTCCTGGGATGTCTAAGGAAATAAAATCCAGTAGCCTATCCTTGCAATCCCACCCAGAATCACATCCCCACACGAAGCTATGCCATTCCAGGCTCTGGACACAGAAAACCAAGACTTGATAGCTCAAGGGTGGTCCCAGGGTACCACATCACAGGTCCTGATATTCACTAGTCTGCAGGACCTCGGTCAGTCCCAGTGACACCAAAAATAACAGAGAAAAAGTGACTGTTGGAGACTCTGTTCTCAAGAACCCCACACCTGGGAAATGTATCAGAGATCCAGATTCATCTGCTGCACAGTTTGTTTCTCAGGCATGGCAGTGGGACTGAGTGGAGTGGGACCCTCAGGAGTCCTGCCTGCTCCATGCAAAGGTGACGACTGCAAGTGTTGATCCATCAGTACAACGCAAATATAACATGCTGTTGGAAGAGGTGAGCTAGAGAAGGTGCCATGAAGAAACCTATCTGTTGCTAAGGCTCTCTGCACAGGTACAATGGATTGCACCAGATGACAGGGGCAAGGATCTATAAAGAAATTCCAAAGCATTTCAACTAGGAAGGAGCAACGGGGGGATTCCAAGAAAAACCTGGAAGGGAGACACAAGGAAGAGAGTCAACACAAGAACCCACATGACAGACACGTCAACAAAGGGGCATACACTTCTACTTAAACTCCAGGAGTATTAGAATCTACATACATTCTAGTATTTCTAATATATCAAAGACAGACAACATAGAAGCTTCAGTATCAGGAGATCTAACTGGAACCATTGTAACTGCACTGTAACTGATGTAATTGAAACCATGCCAGGCAGAGAGCGATGGAGAAGAGCACAATCCAACTGGACACAGCGTTCTGGGGACAGGGATGACGCACGGGCTGGACGTACAGCACTGTGCATCAAGAATAACAGTTTGTTTTCATTATAACCTTCCATTCGAAAATGGTTTGTACACTGTAATGTACTGTATTTGTTTAAATGCCTGTACCCTGTTATTGCTTGATGTTATTTTCCAGTACTTTTGTTTATTTAAAAAGCCCTTTATAAATAAAATTGTTATAATTTTAGAAACTCCATATTTATTTGTACTTAACAGTGTATCTAAATCTATACTTGCACCTAT